AAAAAAAAAAAAAGAAAAGAAAAACAGAACTACAAAAGCAAAATGAAGGATAGTGCAACTAGAATCTACATAGGTGTATGATATATGTTTTTTTCTATTCATCACATTTATATACTCTGTGTTTCTAAAGGGACACACAAAAACAGGATGGTGGTTGCTTCTGAAGAAGGAATTGGAGGGAAGATGAATAATTATTTTTGCCTTTTGGAACTCCCTAATTTTTTTACGCCATTGATATATATTTTTTCACACACACATACAGTTTAAAAATCTAAACTAGGCCAGGTGCCATGGCCAACATCTGTAATCTTAGCACTCTGGGAGGCTCAGGTGGGTGGATTCTTTCTTGTTGTTATTGTTGAGACAGAGTCTCACTATGTCGCCCTTGGTAGAGTGTTGTGGCATCACAGCTCACAGTAACCTCAAACTTCTGGGCCTAAGCGATTCTCTTGCCTGAGCCTCTCAAGTAGCTGGGACCACAGGCACCTGCCACAACAGCAGGCTATCTCTTGGTTGTAGTGTCAATGTCAGGCCCTGGCTGGGTTCAAACCTGCAGCTCAGCCACCTGCTGAACTACAGGTGCCAAGCCCAGTTGTTATTGTTGTTTAGCAAGCCCAGGCCGGGCTTGAACCCACCAGCCTCAGTGTATATGGCTGACGCTGTAACTACTATGCTACGGGCTCAAAGCCAGGTGGGTGGATTCTTTTTTTTTTTTTTAGAGACAGAGTCTCACTTTATCACGCTTGGTAAAGTGCCATGTCACAGCTTACAGCAACCTCCAACTCCTGAGAGGGTGACTCTCTTGCCTCAGCCTCCCAAGTAGCTGGGACTACAGGCGCACACCACAACACCGGGCTAATGTGGGTGGATTCTTGAGCTCAGGAGTTTGAGCAAGAGCAAGACCTTATCTACTAAAAATAGAAAAAAACTAGCCAGGCATATGGCAGTGTCTATGGCTACTCAGGAGACTGAGGCAAGAGGAACTCTCGAGCCCAAGAGACTAGTCTATGACGCTGCCACAGCACTCTACCCAGGGCAACAGAGTAAGACTCTGTCTCAAAAAAAAAGAAAATTTAAGCCAGATACAAAAAGACTATATGACTCATAAAAATGTTTTAAATTTAAAAACATTGTTTAATTTATAAAAAGAGAAATAGGCTTGGCGCCTATGGCACAAGTGGCTAAGGCGACAGCCACATACACCTAAGGTGGCGGGTTCGAATCCAGCCTGGGCCCGCCAAACAATGACGGCTGCAACCAAAAAGTAGCTGGGCGTTGTGGCGGGCGCCTGTGGTCCCAGCTACTTGGGAAGCCGAGGCAAGAGAATTGCTTAAGCCCAAGAGTTAGAAGTTGCTGTGAGTTGTGACACCAATATGGAGGGCGACATAGTGAGACTCTGTCTCAAAAAAAGAAAAAAAGGAAAGACTAAGGCCTAGGGGCTGGGACACAGACTTCCTTGACTACAGCAAACTTCTCCACTGGCCAGGCATGGCCTCAAGAAAGGGCCATTCCCCTGCTAATACTGGCCCCTGGTTCTCCTGAGACTCAAGCGCCCTTGCTTTTTAGAATTTCCCTCCCCAGTCCCTGGCCTTATCAAAAGCTGTCCTTTCCTGTTCACTGCTGCTTTGACTCCATTAGCCTCTGAGCTTCTGAAAGAAAAGAACCTAATTTTCTGTGGACTAAGAGATCTCACTGCCAAGAGACTATGAGCAGTCACTCGAGACATGCTCGTGAAACTCTGGGTTTCTGGAGGAAAGGAGTTTGGGACAAATATCAAGCTTCCACAATCCCCCAGTCCAACTTAGTTTTTTTTTTTTTTTTTTGAGATGGAGCCTCAAGCTATCCCCCTGGGTAGAGTGCCATGGCATCACGCTCACAGCAACCTCCAACTCCTGGGCTCAAGCGAGTCTCCTGCCTCAGCCTCCCAAGTTGCTGGGACTACAGGCGCCTGCCACAACGCCTGGCGATTTTTTGGTTGCAGCCATCATTGTTGTTTGGCGGGCCCAGGCTGGGGATTTGAACCTGCCACCTTAGGTGTATGTGGCTGGCGCCTTAGCCGCTTGAGCCACAGGCGCCGAGCCCAACTTAGTTATTAATAACTCCACAAGAGGAGCATCAGCAAGGGTAGGCTGGGAGTAGCTTCCAGGATCATGCAGACATCGTGCCTCTGCCAGAAGACCCATCCCATGGAACCAGCCTCCACCCAAAGCTGCAAGAGCAGGAGAGCCCAGAAGAGATGATGCTCTTCAGCTAGCTTCAGCAACAACTCCTGTGTGTGGGCTGCAGGGTACAGGTCTGCTGCCAGCAATAGCTCCCCAGACTAGCTTTGGTAACCCAGGCCTTTGTCTTAGTATTTACTAAATCCAAATAGACTTTATAGTAAGGGTCATGAAATAAGTTTTGAATCTTTGAGTCACAGACTAAATAAAGCACAGTCACTTACAAGCCCAGCCTTTCATGTTTGCTTTATTTGAGTTGCCTGATACTAAAAAATCCCAGCTCACGCTAATCTGAAACTAAGACTCTTTAGGGCTACCTAACAGCTCACTTTGTAATCCTGAGGTTGAAAGTCCTGAACAGGAAAGGTAAGCTGTCTGGCAAGCTAGGATAGGCATTGATGGAAAATTGCCTTACAGCTTGATAAGTACTTTCCTACCTAACCACTTAAAAGATTATTATGAATGGCTTGGTGCCTGTAGCTTAGTGGTTAGGGCACTGACCACATACACCAAGGCTGTGGGTTCGAACCTGGCCTGGCCTGCCAAACACAATGACAACTACAACAAAAAATAGTCTGGCTCAGCAGACTATTAACCACCTGTGGCTCAAGTGGCTAAGGTGCCAGCCACATACACCTGAGCTGGTAGGTTCGACTCCAGCTCCAGCCCACCAAACAATGACAGCTGCAACCAAAAAATAGCCGGGCATTGTGGCAGGTGCCTGTAGTCCCAGCTGCTTGGAAGGTGGAGGCAGGAGAATTGCTTGAGCCCAGAAGTTGGAGGTTGCTGTGAGTTGTGATGCCACAGCACTCTACCCAAGGCAACGGCTTGAGATTCTGTCTCAAATACACACACACACACACACACACGCACACACGCACGCACGCGCGTGCATATATATACAAATATCTGAGCGTTGTGGCAGGCGCCTGTAGTCCCACTCTACCAAGGGCAACATAGTGAAACTCTGTCTCCAAAAAAAATTATGAAATGTGACACTAAGAAATTAGAGTGACTTAATCTCAATTTCTAATTAAAGCTCTTCTGATAGGAAAATTTATTTTGGAAATTGTCACTTACTGTATTGATTGCATGGTCTGCTCAAGTCTCAAATTCAGCAGACTTTAGTTTCATAATCAATTGCAATTTTTTTTTTTTGGTAGAGAAAGTACTGTTTCCTGTAACTCCACTTTATGGAGAATGGTTTGACAATAGATTTCTCTCTTCCCTTAGTTCCTTCCAACCTTCCAGATAGAACCTTGTCCCTATCCCCGGCAAAGAGCACAGGCAAAGATGCATCGCCATAAATAATTTATTGTAAACTCTCTTAACAGCATACACTGGTGAGCTTGCCAGCTCGCTCAAGAGAATTCTGAGATCAAGGAGCTAAAGGGTAGGGAGTGTTGTGAAAGTGTAGCCTGTGAAGACAGACTGCTGAGGGGCAGGTTTCATACCATAGCCTATGGGAGACCAATCAGGGTCAGCCGCGCTATGCTGGGCAGGAAGGAGGTGGGCCATGCCAGGAACAGGAAGTTCTCCTTTGGTCAGCCCACCCCAGGTTTCCAGCCCTTCCTTCTGCTTCCTCACCCATGGTCCTGTATGGGGAGGGCGGAGTGATAAGAAGTGGCCAAGCTTGCGGGCGCTACCAATTAAGCATAGGGTCCCCAAACCAGTCCTTGGCTGGGGAAGGCCTCCAAGGACTTGGGATTTCACTGCAGTATCTTCAGACAGGTCGGGATGAGGGACGAGGTCTTGCCTTTGGGGGGCTGCTCTTCCTCTGTGGCATCAAGGAGCTGCCGCATGTAACAGGAGGTGCCAAGCAGCACATGGCCTGTGGCCTGCATGCTGAAGAGGGCCCAGCGGAGAACTTCCCTGGGTGGAATAAAAAGGCATCCAAGTCAAAAACATGAACTATAACCCTGCCTACATCCCCTTAAATGCCCCCTCCCCCCACCCCTTCTTTGCTGGCCTAGAAGGGATTAGTTTCATTATATTCATTTTCTTTTTTTTTTTTTTTTTGAGACAGAACCTCAAGCTGTCACCCTGGGTAGAGTGCTGTAACATCACAGCTCACAGCAACCTCCAAATCCTGGGCTCAAGCGAGTCTCCTGCCTCAGCCTCCCCAAGCAGCTGGGAGTACAGGCACCTACCACAACACCTGGCTATTTTTTGGTTGCAGCCATCATTGTTGTTTGGCAGGCCCGGGCTGGATTCGAGCCCGCCAGCTCAGGTATATGTGGCGCCTTAGCCATTTGAGCCACAGGCGCCGAGCCTATATTCATTTTCTTCACGAATAAATGCTACTGAGGTGGAAGGACTAAAAATGCTTCACACACTCTAGCAGGTGTCGGTGTCCTCAAACTACAGCTCGCAGGCCACATGAGGCCTGCCTAGGACATGTATCTGGCCCACCGGGTGTTTTGCTGCTGTTGCCTGTCCTGCTTAGCAGCTGACTTGTCCCGGGGCCCACAGTCCGGCCCTCCAATGGTCTGAGGGACAGTGAATTGGCCCCCTGTTTAAAAAGTTTGAGGACCCCTGCTCTAGAGCAATGTGCAAACAGGACTGAGAACTTGAATCAGACAAGCCTGCATTGTGATCCAGTATTATCAG